GCCACAAGTTGAGGCGAATAAAGCCCATCAAGCATCGAAAACTTATTGTCTGGTCTAGTGGAGCACAAGAATCCATGTAGCTGTTGCGTGAGACGTGGAAGGGAGGACTGAAATCCATGTTCTGCACTATTATCAGCGGTGGTGTATGTGTTAGCGAGCCCAAGATCCACAAACAAAGCACCTACTTCAGCCGTGGTGATAGAGGTCGCTTCAACGTGACGTATAATTAAGCTCAGCCTGTCCCAAGTTAACTCCTGTTTGCCGACAGTTGCTGCCAGTTCTTTGAGTACGCGCTCGATCCAAGCCGAAAAACAAGCACAGTTGCCCTGTTCTGTCTTAATTAACTCGATAAACGACGATACATCGCGTGACAAGGTGTTTGAGTCACAGGTTGGTGCTTGGTTAAATAATGTCATGAAAAATTTCTCAACAGCCTCGCCAACCGACTCGAAAGATGCTAGCATGAAAACATTTAGATTCTTGAGAAGTTTGTCAGCGGCATCATCTGGACACTCAGCCTGTGTGATAAGATCTCTGATGTCATTTTTCATATTCTGAACCAGTTCAGATCGTCTGGTTTTCATCAGTTTTATTCGCATTCCAAATGAAGTATCCTTCATACAGCGTAGCACACGTTGCGCCTCAAGACGATACGAACTTTGCACAGCTAGCGCGTGTCGGGCGTGATCTAATTTGTGCTCTTTAGGTTCAAATGCATCGTCTGTCAGCCAATTCATAGCGAACTTCCAAATCTGAAATTGTGCCTGATCTCCAGCTCGAGATTTCAATACTGCACCAATAACTAAAACCGGAGAGGTATTTAGTATCTCGTTTACGTTATCTTGCTTCACCTGTTGCGGTTGAGTGAGCTCAACTTGCTCGCCGTCTCCATGTCGATAGAATATTTGTAGCTGAATATTTACATTGGCTTGATACGACGCTGCAAATTTCATAATTTCGTCCCGAGTTTTCCACAATATTCCATGATTTTCGAAATCTTTGAAAAAGTCTTGAACAGATTTTTGAGCAAAAATCCCATCGCGAGAATGATGTACCGCAATAAAAAATACTCGAAGGATCCGATGTTTTTGCAGTGCCACTCGTCTCGCTTGATTCTGCTCGACTCCACTAACAGGAGCCAAGAACACGTCAAACTCGAGCTTAGGGTCATCGAGTGTTACCAACCTCAAATCGAATTTCTCGGGTACTGCTAAACGTATTATTTCACCGTCGTCAAACAAATACAGCGCGAATCTCTGCGGAGCAGGTTTAAACTGCTGTAGCACATCAACTTCCCAGCGGTCAATGTCCTCAGCGGTAGTGTCTTTCACACTAATACTCGATCCGATTTCACTGTATTCTTCTTGAATTTTTTGACAAAAAAATGACTGTAGCTCCTCATTGCGTACTGGAATTTTTAGACATACCAGCGGTGAAATAGTTGAATTTTGGTCAGTTGTAGTAGACCAGACCATAATCAAACCGTCTCGAGACGCGACAAACAGGAGATCAGCGCGCACAACAAGCTGAACAACAGTCGATACCTTTGCATTTCCAAAACTAAACACCCGTTTCCTCTCTTTGGTCTGCGGTAGAATCCACAGGCCAGCGTGACGATAGGATTTCGCTGTAGTCGTAGCGTACAATTGCGTTTGGAACTCTCCACATGGCAAATATTTCTCAACAATTTGAAACAAAGCCTGAAATTTGCCCAGCTGGGTCACTTGCAGGTCGATATGACACACGATTTCTCCCGTTCCAGCGCGTGCAACCCAGATAATTCTCTCTGATCCCGTTAGAAATATAATTTTGGATCCATCAGCAGTTACCTCAAAAATTTTCACAACACCAGCAGACGAAACACTGTCATTCTTCTTGAGGTCACGTCCTCGAAGTGACAACTCGACATTAACATGCTCCACTGCCACTTGACGAATAGGACAAACAAAATTGTTTGCCAAGCGGAAGAAACGGAAAGTTTCACTTCCAGGTTCCTGCAAAATTGACGAATTTACACACAGAACCGAGTCCCACGCACACAAGCGAACTAGAGCCCCAGACGTCCCAGTCGAGCGTTGGAACTGACGAATACGCGACGATACAACTGAAGATTCCACGCTAGCTGGACCAATCTGATTGACGCCATTCCAGGCTTGAATGCAACTCTTCTTGTCGCTCTTAGTGATAGTTTTCTCTGTTGAGAACAGCACTACTGCTTTAGATTCCTAACAAAATAATATAAATAATAGTCAGTCGACACAAGTTAGTTAGCCGATAGGTTAGAAAACGCACCAACACAGCTTTGTTACTTGAAAAATTCCACACTTCCAGGCTACCATCAAAGTACAGGACCAGCACTCGCGATGTGTAATTCCCGGATACAACTTCAGCAACTTCTTTACTCCCAATAACACGAATTCCGTCACTCTGAGACTCTGATGAAGGGGAAATCTCGGGAGTTATTAACCGCTTGTTGTATCTCACAAAATAAACAATTTCTGGCCACGAGAGAAGACCAGAACGTTGGTTGGTAACAGAAACCCTCTCCAACTCTTGACACACGGTAACAGTGAACTCCAGTCCTTCCAGGTTTTCTTGCGGATCATCGGATGCAACCGCAATGTGGTCTTGGACGTCCTTCAGAACTCGGTGCAACAACTCATACGCTTGAACAGATTTGTATCCGTTAGTAAAATTTGTTGTTGTTTCGAGTAGAATCGCGAAATGCTTTCTCAAATATGTTAACGAAGTTTGAAGTTTAGCGTCGTTATCCTCGTCAAAATCCAGCGAACATGAAGGTTTTGGAAACCGGAAAAAAGCCTGAAACTCTTCATAGATAACTTCAGATTCGTCGCTCATTGTGTTTAACAGTTTGTTCTCCATTTCTCGTGACGTAGATAACAGCGAAAGATACGCGTTTCGATGAAGAATCTGCTTGACATCACCTAGACGCACCGTTTTATTAGAAGTTTCTGCTTGAAGAATAAGACCCTCCCAACACGCCTGCAATTTGCGTTCTGTGAACTCATCGTGAATAATGAACACCCCTGGCGAATTGGAATGACTGCTCCAAGCTGCTAAGTATCTCATTGATGGCCCAGCACGTAAATTTGGCGAAGGTATAGGCAATATTTGAATGGGTTCGAACGATGTAACGAGATTAGTCACCAAGGTTGTGATTGGAGTCTTTGAGCTTTCAATAGTCAGCGACGCTTGCTTCACAGCGTTGGAAACGATATCGACAATGCCTTCTCGTACGAACGTCTAGTTCACATAAAAATCCAAACGAATCAACAATATTATTCACGAATCTCCATAATTTAACCAGACGATCTCACCTGTGTTTCCGATATTTCGAGATATTTCGCACGTTCCACCGACGATAACAACACAATCGACACGAGTTCTTTCGCCGGATGGAAAAATCGCAATGGAATCGCTAGACGAAGCTTCGTTAAGTATGAAGAATATTGGTCACTGGAAACCTCGACCACCATCCTCTCCTCGTACAAGTCTGGAATTTCAGCTCCAATGCGAACGTATGTTCCTCGGAGCAGAAACTGACCCTTTTCAACTACAATAACATCAGCACCCGCGCAGGCATCTGCTGCCAAAACCATCGTGTTACCATTCTAAAAAGAAAAAATACAATTATAAAAAGTTAGAACTTGAAATATCAATATTTTAACAGTAAAATGAATTTTTACTATACGGCCGGCGATGGTTTGTTGGGTGCCCTCCGCTGCACCATTTTGCGGCCCATTGATGCGCGATCCTGTCCCATTGTTGTTGCTTTGTGAGATCGATTGCTACCAGTAGATCGCTGTCGAGTTAACGTCCTCTTGGCGTTACCTTGAGCCTTCACCTCATGAGGAATATCTGCCAGAATCTCCTGTTCGATCGGATCATGTAACGATCTTGCAGACTGCACACGTTTTTTGCTTGGAACAGGTCTAGTTTTCATATTTCGTGCTGCAGCTGGTCCTCGATGAATGTTAACCTTTTGTGGTTGTTGGCCGGTTTTAGCTTGTAACATCTTTTTCTTCTGTTCCAAATGTTCTCTTGTTCCAAACGCTGGTTTTGAGATATGTGCTTTGTGCTGTTGGTTTCGAGTACTGTGATCAGCCTTTTGAGGAACCGTTGAATCATTGGTGGTAGTTAATCTCAGGTGTAGCAGAGCCAATCCAACTTCGAGTTCCAGTTGTCGTGCTTTCAATTCATCCAGAGGAGTATCTGGCGGAATAGCTAACGTTCCGGAATCGGTCTCTCGAAACCCAATCGACAGTAGTAGCTCCAGTCCACCTTGTGCACAATTAACAATTTTCGTGAATGTATTGGTGGCTGTATTGATCTCTCGATATCTCGGATTTTCCGGTTGATCTTGGATATTCTTCAGACATTTCACAGCCAGTTGAACGACACGAATCCAGTTCTCCGAGCAACGGTCATCCGTTGAAATGGCCCTCGACACTGCACTTACATCACTCACTGACGGATTCTTCATACCGCGATAATGTCCAGCCAACATCGCCGCAATTGTTTGAATCCTACCGATCGTAGCAGTATCCAAAGCCGTCGGTAGTTCGGACACACTATTGGACGTTTTGAAGCGCACTCGTTGCGGCTGAAGCTCGTAAAATCTCGATTTTTCGTCGTCTGGCAGCGTGGATTCTCGAAATCCAACAAGACGTAGCAATGCTCGACCAGCTGCAAAGCGAAGAAGCTGGATTCCTGTTGGATTTTTGTCGTTTATCGCCCACAACGAGGGATTCCCAGGCTCCTGGATAATACAGTATAGCTGGTTTAGTAATCCTTCCAACACCGTTGCTGCAGCGATACAGCTCGTTTCCAATCGTAAACCACCTACAGCTAAGGAAGTGGCTTCACACAAGGTTGGATCGGTATCGTTATCCGAAATTTCGGCTACTTGGTCATCGTTTTTGTCAGTTTTGAGCTCGTAAGGATGGTCAAGAAGAGGTCCAAGAGCAGCCACGAAGTCATGGAGATCAACCTTATTATCCTTCCCAATGTCGAACGCTTCAAACGTACACCAAGCTGGAAGTGCAGAGGGAGCTCCATACACGCGTGAAAAATCCGCTTCCAGTAAAAATCCCTTCTGATCTACATCCATGGATTTAAATGCTTCGCGCATCATATCAAGTTGATGTCTTTGAATGGACGTCTTGTTGAAAGTCTCGATGGCGTTCGTACCGTAAGGATACATCTTCACTAGAGCAGCGTCTCGAGCTTCGATAGTGTCAGATCGAGTTTTATCATCTGTTATATTGTCTTTTACAGAATTCTGAGATTGAGAAAAATGACCAACGATATCGTGAAGATAACGCATCTCATCTTCCAAAAGACTGTCAATTTCGTGCTTTCGACGCCACAGAAACCACTCCATCTGACTGCTGACACTAGAAAAGGCAAAATTCGACAAACTAGCGGATAATTCTGTTTGGTCAGATGTTTTAGTCATCCCAGTCCCTCTAAGAGTGTAGACTTTACCATGTGAAGTCTGTGCAAGATCAAAGCCAATAGATTCCATCAGTTCCGTCGCGTAGGGCAAATATCCAATTTGCCGTTGAAAAGTGCTGTTAGCTTCTCGGATCCGCCAAAATCTCGAATCTTTTGGATTTTTCAAGATATTTTCAATGTACGAGGATAAATTCCTTAAAATCGTCTGACATTCCTCCAACGTGAATTGGTTGCCTTCACGTCTACATGCCTTGGATATTCTTTGCAGAATAGAGCTTATACTTTCTACACCGTCGAAAAGTGACAGTTCACCATCCAGCTGAACACACTTCTCGCGTAACGAGTCCAGCGTGGATTTTTCAAGTGCACTCACGCGTTTCCCTTCATAATTTCGTGCACCTCTTAACTCGTAGTGCGTTTTCCGGTGTTCCACAAAACCTACGGCCTCTAAAAGACTCGTAGCACCGTCAAAACGTCCGATCTTCTGCTGGAAAGCAGCATTATCCGCTCGGATTCTCCAATAATCTGCATTATTCGGAAATCGCAGGATCTTCAAACAGATATTCCGGACTAATCCAATAATCCGACGCACATCTGCCAAATCTACACGCATTCTCATCTTATCCACAGCATTTCGGATAGTCGGTGCAGAAGTCAATTCATCGATAATAAAGCCACAACTTGCGTATATTTCCACTAACGACACAGCACCAGAGCGCTTACGAAGTGTATTTAACGCAGGCTCTAACTGAGTTGGATCCGGAGCCACTTTTGCAGCAAACATCGACAGCTGCGAGGTCTCCAGTAGCATTTCTTGACTTGATATCTCATTGTCTGCATCTGTACTCAACAGCGACTCGAAAGCTTCTCGAAATCTGAGGATTAAATCCACTTGAGCCTGAGTTCGTCCCACACACAGTCGACGCACGAGATCCCCATGACGTTTGCAGACAATGTCACCATTCGAGAACAAACAAGACGCAACAAACGCGATAGGTCTCAACTCCACTGCACCACTATATCGCGAAAAAATCGGATTCTCCGATCCATAAAGTTGGTAATAACAACATAAAAATTCAGGAAGGAACAACGTAGAGTGCGGATATAACTGCTGCTGTTGCAAGTACACGTCCAATGGTTTATTGGGTATCGCCTGCCGAGCCACCTGGTCGAAAATGGCGGATAGTTCAGACACTCGAATACGCGCTGGGATCATATTAGGTAAAGCGTGGTCGTGGAAATTCCTCTGGAGCGTCTCAAAAAGCCGAAAGCCTAATTTCTGCTGCCACAACTCTAGCTGGCGTTTATTCTCGTGATAGGACGCGAATCTCCCTTCCAACGCCATGGCGACACTTTGCTCCATTCGTAATTTTCCGAGTCGACATTTGGCGTACGCAAATGCTAACATTAGGGTTTTAAACTCGAAATGGCGATGAGTTCGGAGATCGTCGTGGGTTGCGAACCATTCAGCCAACATGTGGCTGACGGAGTGGTTGTCGTCGTAGATTCGGCTGGTTGTTGTGGACTTTGAGGCTACAATGAGCTCTTCCACCACAGCGATTATCCGACTTCGGGAGATTTTACCAGATTTTTTCACATCGTTCTCCTTAAACAGTCGCTTGTAGGTTTGCAGTGAACTTGAATCAAAAAGTCTCTTTAGTATCTGTAGATATATGATGAAGATATTAGGTTAAAAAAATCTGAACTGAATACGGGAGTATCGTACCTTGTCCACCCCCGTTTTCGTGCTGTTTGACTTGGACGACCCTGATCCACTTTCAGAACTGGAGGAATCTGAACTGGAACTAGAACTATCACCTTCACCTCGAAGTAGCTGTAGCTTGGGCTTCTTCTTCAGAACACCTTCTTCAAAAAGCTAGTTTAGAACAGCACGTATTAGCCTACAAACATATTATACCTAAGCAGAATTTAATACAAACCGTCATAGCAAGTTGCTCCAGCAGAAACAGAGACTCAGTACCAATCCCGCTGCAAAGAGAAAAAAAAACTGTTGTCAACAACGATGACAAAATCGGGTATGTAAGCAGATATAACTGTACCCTTTCAGCTTTCGTTTTCGTTTCCGCCGTGGCGCATCACTCTTGTCCGAACTTCGATCCGAATCTGAGTCAGCTTTCTTCTTACTCGGCTTCAGTGTTTCTGACGGTGCATCTTCTTCCACTACCCCATCGCTGTATCGAATCTACACAGCCAGTATAATATAATGAAAAAAATCCAAAAAAATCTAAACGGGTTCTACTAACGCACCGTGTAAGTCCCGTCCGAATTTTTCTCCAGCACTGTGGCCTTTGTCCATTTGTCAGTCATCCGGGGCTTGGAAAGCTTACTGGAACGTCGCCAATTGGACAGAACGTGTTCGTGGCGACGGAAACTCGGCCCTTCTTTGGTCTTCACAACCTTTTTACTCGGTGGTTCATCCTCGGAATCCTCGGAATCCGAGCACTCTACCAGAAGTTTTCTTGATACCCGTTTGGACGTGTCGCCATCGTCATATTTAACGTCGTAACTCCCATCTGAATGCACTTTACGAACGACTCCAATTCGTCGAGACTTTGAGTCTTCAGCTTTCCGATACGTGACTCTAGTGCCCTTTTTAATCGAAGCTTGTTTCTCATGATCAGATCCCGAAGACTCCGACGATGAGTGCTTCTTCGACTTCTTCTTCGGCTTGGGCTTATCTGTTTCTCGATCTGAGTCCGAAGATTGTTTACCTGACGTAGACTTGGTCTTTTTCTTGTTTTCGTCATCGCTTCCTTCGTTATCACCGATCTTTTTGATATCTTCGATACGTACGTGTTTCTCCGAGGCTCCGACGTCATATTCAATGTCAAAAGTGTCATCCGACCTCACCCGTACAATCCTTCCTTTGTGAAACTTACCCTTCTTCCTAAAATTGGCTTCAACAGCGTCACCGACCTTAATAACCGCACCCTTCTTTTTCTTCTTGGTGTCACCCTCTGAATCCGAGTCACCGAAGATATCGTCCTTGTCGGAGTGGATCTTCTTTGGTTTACTACCCGGAATTATCTCGATCGCTGATTTTTTCACGCGCTGTTCAGTGTCACCATCGTCATATTCAATATCATACGTCCCGTCCATTCTGACTTTGATTATTTTACCAGGGAAGCTCTTCAACCCTCCTTTGTATCGCGCATTCACCTTATCACCAACAGTAAAGTTTTTGGATGTCTTGTCATGTGACGAGATTTTTTCTTCAGCTTCGATATGAGAACTTTCAACGTGCATCTCGGTATCTCCATCATCGTACCGTATATCGTACGTACCATCTGATCTCACGCGGGTTATTTTACCAGAGAAGAGCTTTGTTCCCTTCTTGTATCGCGCTTTAATCACGTCTCCAACCTCAAAGCTTTTCTTTTTACTTGGCGTTTTCGTTGCTGTTTCCGGCTCAATACTAACAATGAGAGAAGAGTCCACGTGAGATTCCGAGTCTCCGTCATCGTACTCGATGTCGTAAGTCCCATCCGAACGGATACGTGATATTCTACCCGTAAAATATTTGGCTCCTTTCTTGTACTTCGCCTTAACAACATCCCCGACTAAAAATCCGCTCTTCTTCTTTGGTAATTTATTCTCGTTTGCTTTCGATTTGATACGAGAACGAGGCACACGGCGCTCGGAATCGCCGTCATCAAAAGTAATATCATACGTACCATCAGAGTGGACGCGAGATATCTTACCAGGAAACATCTTGACTCCGTTCTTGTAGCTCGCATCTACCAGATCCCCCACTTTTAGTGTCGTGTTCGACAATTCAGTGTCTCGTTCCTCCTCTAACTCGATATCCTTCGCTGCAACGTATTTCTCCTTATCGCCATCTTCATATCGGATATCGTACGAGCCGTCACGGTGTACTGCTGTAATCTCTCCACTAATCATCTTGCTGCCCTTGTTATAACGAGCACGCACTTTATCCCCCACGCTTAGACTTTTCTTAGCCGTTACCGAACCAGATTTTTCATCGTCGTCATTCTTTTTATCCTCTGGAACATCGATCATGTCGATATCCACTCGCATTTCGACGTCTCCGTCGTCATATTCGACATCGTACGTTCCATCACTGCGCACACGAGATACTTTACCAGAGAAGAGTTTCTTCCCTTTCTTGTACCGAGCCTTCACACTGTCACCGACCTTCAAAGCTTTTTTCTTCGGCTTGGTATCGTGAATATCCGATCCTTCTGACTGGATTAAATCCGCTGGAACATGAGTATCTTTATCTCCGTCGTCAAACGCGACATCGTACGTTCCATCACTACGCTTACGAGAGATTCTACCTTGGAAGAGCTTGCTCCCTCGTTGGAATGGGGCTATCACGACGTCACCAACTTCAAAGCTTTTCTTCTTGGGTTTATCTTCATCATCCCCGTCTCGTTGGATAAAATCCATCTCTACGCGCTCTTCCACATCACCGTCTTCATACTTGATGTCGAACGTTCCATCCATTCGCTCACGGGTGATTTTTCCAGGGAAAAATCTAGTTCCTCGTTTATATTTCACACAGTCACCCACCCGCAGCGGCTTGTTTGAGATTCTTGACTTTAGATTGTCAGATAATTTTGCAGATTTTTGCTTTTCTGAGTTATCTTCAAAATCTTCAATCAGACTTGGATCCACGCGCAATTCAGAATCCCCGTCGTCATACTTGATATCGTATGTTCCGTTCATGTGGACTTTTGCGATTTTTCCCGGAAACAACCGCTTCCCTTTACCATAGTACGCTTTCACGCGGTCACCAACAATCCATTTCTTCTTCTTTGTCGCCTGTTTCTTGTCTTCATCGGAATCTGCAAACAGATCTTCTTCATCATCTACTTGGATTTTAGCAGCTTCGGCGTGAGTTTCAATCTCCCCGTCGTCATAGTCAATATCGTACGTGCCATCGGAACGTACGCGACTGATTTTACCCGGGAATAACCGCTTTCCTTTCTTATAGTGCGCCTTGACTTTCTGCCCAACTTTAAATGTCTTCGAAGATGTTTTCGCAGATTTTATATCCTCATCGCTCAGATTATCTGCGGATTCGATATACTCCGTCTTCACCCTCTTCTCTTCGTCTCCATCTTCGTACATAATATCGTACGTTTTATCGCTGTGTATACGTTTAATCTTGCCTGGAAACAGCTTTTTGCCACCTTTATATCGAGCTTTAACGCTCTGACCCACACGAAATCCACTGCTTTTCTTCGTTGGTAAAACTTCATCTTTTTCTTCAGAATTCGGCTCAATCAGATCTCTAGCCACTCGCGTCTCCACATCCCCATCGTCATACTTTATATCGTACGTACCATCCGATCGCACTCTTGAGATTTTACCACTGAAAAGCTTCGATCCGTTCTTATATCTTGCCTTCACCTTGTCCCCCACTGCAAATTTCTCGAGTTTATTGTCTTTTTTCGCAGCTTCGACATCCGTCGATGCCATTTTCTTCTCAATATCTCCATCGAAATACTCGACGTCGTACGTTCCATCTCGATGAACTTTAGAGATTTTACCAGGAAACCATCGACTGCCTCCGTTGCATCTCGCTCGAACCGAATCACCAATTTCCAGTGTTTTAACAGTATCCGATGTTTTAACCGACATAGCAGCGAGTTTCGTGGGTTTTACCGGAGATTCATTACCAAGTCGAATCGGAGACTTCTTCTCCTTAGTGTCGCTCATGTCCTTGGCCTCTTCAATGTCTTGTAACGGCACATTCTTCTTCAGTGTCCCATTGTTAAGTTTAATAACGCACGTGTTCGACGACGCTCGGATCTGGATCAACACGCCAATGTCCCCCGAGCCCACAATGCCCACCAACATGCCCGTCTTGAGCGTCATGATGAACCGACGGCGCGATCTTCAAAGACGTTAAGAGATCGAAATTCCGACTCTAATATACAGAACCGTTACGGTATTCTCCACTATTCCTGTCCTTCTAACACCTACACTGTCGATTCCACCGGCTCCATGCCACCGCCTGGAACTATCAAGCCGATGGACCCTCTCAGTGCCTCGGTAGGCGCAGTGCCTCAAGTTTCTCGACAGAAAACTGCAATGGACCCGGTGACCCGCACCAGCCCCGCGTTGGACAAATTCCAGACCGTTCGAGGCAGTCTCATGACGTCTTCTACGTCATTTTCAGGCTTCACAACTCGCCGACTGCAGTCAACGGTAGTGCCTGAGAGTTCGGCGGAGAAACGAGCCCGAGAGAGCTCCGTATCGAGAGCCACCGCTGTGAACGAGTTCCTTTTGTTCCTTAAAATCATGGACGAAGTGGCCATCCACCACATTACGCTCTACTTTATCAACATCAACACTTTGACCGTGATCCTCAAAATGGAGCAGTCGTTCGCCAAGTACTACGCTAGTTCACAGCGAAAATTGTACTTACGCGGACTGCTGATGCTTATCGGCTTCATGATCTCGACTTTTGTGTACGACTACATTGTACTCTGGGAAGACTACAGTGTCGGGACGAATGCCACTGCCGACGGGGTCGTAAGTACTAAACTGCCGAAATTCACGGTCGTTGTCGTGTTAAAACTCGCGGTTGTGCTGCCTTTACTGTTTTTAACGTTTTTTCGGGCGAGAAAACACCCTTACCATGAGGATTTTAAACTCACCTGGATCTGTACCGTCGTAGTCGCTTGTTATCCGGTTGTGTACAACAAGATCACGAACGATTACGGTGTCTCGTGGGTCTGTCTCGTCATCATGTGGGTTTACAGTTGCACGCCCATCCGATTCTTCCCGGTCTCGATCTTCTGCCTTGGATATTTGGCCACATACGTCGTGGTTATGCTCGCGTATGTGCCTGGAAGTGCCAGCTCTTCTGCGTCTTCTAGCAGACAAGAAATTGCCAACGAGACGCTATACGCTTGTCTCTTCTTCTTCTTGATTTTGCTACCCAGTCAGTCACGAGAGTTCGCTATTCGAGTGAGTTATATGAGCGAACTTATGGTTTTATTACAACAAGAACAGCTGAAAATGGAGGAAACTCGGTCCAAAGCGTTACTTAACAGTATGTTACCAGAATCCATCGTAGTGCAGTTACAATGTGGACGAGAGCTCATTGCAGACGAATACCCAGAAGCTACTGTATTATTCGCAGAAGTCTGCGACTTTGATCTCTTCTCGTCCAAACTACAGGCGCAACAAGTGGTCGAGTTACTTAACATTTTATTTTACAAATTTGACAAACTGGTGGACGTGCATCACGTGCACAAAGTTGAGACTATCGGCGCTGTATATATGGTAGTCGGTGGCTGTCCCGATGTGATTCCTAACCACGCAGAACTTGTCGCTAACTTGGCGTTGGACATGATTCGCTGTATTCCAGAAGTTAGTGCGAAAATTGCACGTAAGAATTGGGGCCATATGGTCACGAATCTTAGTATTCGAGTGGGGATTAATACTGGAGGACTCATGGCCGGTGTGGTGGGGATCCGGAATCCTCGCTTCAAGTTGTTTGGAGACACTGTGAACGTGGCTTCACGCATGGAGACGACCAATTTACCCGGTCAGATTCAAATCACAGAGGCGACTCATAACGCTATTTATCACAAGTTCCATACAGCGTTACGAGGTAAAGTATTCGTTAAAGGGAGAGGAGAGATGAACACGTATTTCTTACGTGGTAAGGATAGCTACATCGTCCCACCAGCTTCAGTCGTGACTAGAGAACACACTGGTACACCCGATGTGGTAGCTGAGCCTACAAATTCGACATCGGGAAGATCACGACGAACGAGTCACATGCCTGGATCGAACATCAACGCCATTCCAGAACATAACAAAACGGATTCTTCAAACGCAACAAAATCCAACGAAAATCTAGCACCTTTACCAATAACGCCGAGGACTTCGAACGCTCGTCAACCGCGACGTGCGAGTCGATTGGGGGCTCTTGACACCTCGAATAAGCAGAAAACCATCGCGGATTTATTGGCGTTAGCGCCTCCAGCTGGACGAAAAGCCTCCATCATGCAGCTACCCGAAGGCACGAAACTTCCCCCGATTCCTCAATCTAGCAGAGAGGACACCAATCCGCCGTCTCTTCTTGCTTTAGCTGACCAGCCTCCGTCACCCTCGGCACCTTCACGTCTTGCTCAGCGACGAGGCACCGTGAGTGCGCTGAGAAACCACAGTTTGAGTCAAATTGCAACTGTACGTAGATCCCTCTTCCGAGAGAATATCTTTGACATCGTGGAAGATCTGGACTGCAACGGAGACCCTGGAAACGATGAGAACTCCGTCTACAGCGCCACGATCATGACGTTACCCAAGGGGTTGACCCGTACCGAGGTGCTGTTCCGAGTGCACGGCAATCGAACACGCTTCCGCAGTCTCACGAAGGAGGCGTTCGAGTTCGAGGAAAGTTACAGAGTGGAAAATCGCGCGCGGTGGATGCGATTCCTGCGCTTATCAGTGACTGTTTTCCTGGTGCTTAAACCGTTTCTAACACTTTACCAGTCGATCCGTTTGTCCAAGGTGCGCTCTTTCGAAGAAAGCGGGCTCATTTTTTTACTCAACTTCTGCATCATGTACCCGGTCATGTTGGCTTTTTTACTGCAAAGTTTTTCCCCGAATTTCAGCAATTGGGAACAGTTCGCGTCGGTGGTAGTCATCTCTGTCGTGGCCGTGATATTGTGCACGGAAAGTCTTCTTACCAACTCTCTTGGGCATGCCTATATGAGTGCATTGGCGTTGTATCAATGCTACTTCGCCAACGTGTCATTTCTGCTTCGCGTTATCAACGGCTTTGAGATTTTAGCGCTGTATTTACTCGCTAATCTCTTGCTCGCGCCGTATTTTGGCTGGGAAATCAACGCCACACAGCTCCGAGTGTTAAGAAATGCGCTCTACATTTTCATGTTCTTCGCCGGCCAAGCGTGGGTGGTGTTTAATTCCGAGTTTAAACAACGAATCAACCATTATCGCGACATTACGCTGAATTCGCAGAAGCAAAAACTCGTGGAAGAAGAAGGTCGAATTACGAAATTGTTGCTGAATTTACTACCGGAGACCATCGTGCACAAGCTCAAGGAGGACCCGCAAACCACAATTGCAGATTTCTTTGACAATGTGACGGTTTTATTCACCGATATGGTGAATTTCACGGCGTATTCGTCCAAAGTTTCAGCCATGGAGCTCGTCCAGTTCCTCAACGACATGTACACGCGATTCGATACGATCGCTGAGCGTGAGGTGTTGTACAAAGTGGAGATCATCGGTGACGCTTATTTCGTGGTGGGAGGCTGTCCCATAGTGAACACCAACAATGCGCTGGCAGTCGTGACTGCTGCCACCGACATGTTCGCAGCGCTGCCGCTATTGAGACGCAACTGCGGCGTTCCCGACCTGAATATCCGGATTGGGGTGCACTCGGGTCCTGTACTGGCTGGTGTGGTGGGGAGCAAAGATCCTCGCTATCATCTCTTTGGCGACACGGTGAGCATTGCGCACTTCTTGGAGAGCAGTGGTGTACCTGGTCGCATTCACATTAGCGAGAGTACGTGGGCCAGTATGAACAAGGAGACACCCGGTCATGGATTCAAAGTCGAGTATCACACGCTGCTCTCCATCAACGGCAGCTCCAAGAAACTACGCACGTATTTCGTGCTATGAGCGACGAACGAGATGATATTTGAACATTCATTCGCGTTCTGTAACAACCCGACATTGCCTTGCTTGACAGCAAGTTGGCAGATATCGGTTCACCCGTCGCAGATACGTACCAGTAGACCAAACGAAATGGCCCCGCCTCATTCTTGCGTAGCTTGGTTGGCTTTCGGCGTTATCATGGTCGACAAAGCTGGTTATTCGTATCAGATACGTAAGCTCTCGGTTCTGTACCCGGTCCAAGCAATCAACCATGAAGCGACAGGAAAATCCCGAACTGTTCGGAGCCTGCGGCGACGGAGGCGAATCTACCAGCTCGGTGCAGTGTCGTCGGCTGGAAAACTGCAACAAAACAAGCAAGCAAAGGTGAGACCGGACTGACGTGGCATGCTCCATACAAATTGCAAGAGTAGCGACAGCACCGGCGTGTCACTGCTCTGAAACCTAGTCCTAGTATACATCTCGTATCCGTAAAAACAGCTATACGTCCTTGCGATCACACGAATATCATCATCAGTTTTTCGGACAGAAGATCGGGCCAAAGTTGAACACTATCGTCCAGGTTGCCCAGACTCCTCGCCATTTTCACCTCACGTACTTCGCATCACTAATGAGGAGGGAAAACCGTTTATTTACATCCATGTACTTAATTCTGCATGGATTCTAACAAGAATGTACGATGTTAGCTGAGATATCGTGAATCAGAACCACATCGGCTTGGCTTCAACATGTACTTCCAACATACATGCTCATGTCTGCAACCACACAAAGAAAAATTTTCCACAACGATCCCACGGCGATCGTCTGTCGTTTGTCGACAAACACATCGCCAGTGCATCGTCCGCCCCCTTAATCATCCGGATACCACTATACACTATCAACTGCTTCAACTGTATACAATCTCCAGGCAGACCCATAATCGAAACGGCATCCTCGCGCACAAGTGTCACCATGAGCTCGGACGCTTCCCCCGTAGCGAAAGACGCAGACGGTAGCGCGAGCCCTTTAACCCTCAACTCGCCTCTCAGCGTACGCGTGGAGCCCGCAGACGCCCCCAAAACGCCGCTGCTGAACGTGCACGAGGAGGCGGAGCATCTGTATCCGGCTGTGATCGAGTGGTCTCGCCCCTGCGAGTCTGTCGGCGTCACTGGCAGCTTCAACAAGTGCGTACTAATCCTGCAATTCTAGCATCAAAGTACTACATTCTGACGTGATATTTGCGCAGTTGGGGCTCGCAGATCCTCCTCAAGAAGCAGAAAACCACGGACAATGACTCCCCCCTCTTCAGTGTCAAGCTCTGGCTGCCTGTGGGTACACATTTATTCAAGTTCTGCGTTGACGGAGCGTGGCAATATGATCCCGAGGTGACATTCGCTCCGGATGAGTACGGAAACCTCAATAACTTTATCAAGATCGCGTCCAACGTGGACCCTCAGACCAAGGAAAAGCCTGTACAGCGTGCTATCCGTACCATCATTCGAGATGCCAATGAGGGACTACCCGTCATGAACCCCGTGGCCAGTGAGGAGCTCATGAAGCTCCGACTACAGAACTCTCCAGTGCTTAAAGGCCAGCGATCTCCCAGCTCCAAGCGCCACATCAGTCGACCAGATCCGACACGTCCACTTACAGCGCCTCGTAAACCCCAAGAGACGGAGGACTCAGAGTACGGAATCGAAGTGAGCAAGCGACGTATGAGTAACCACAACATCGCTATGGCTCGACCTCGAGCGGGAACGTTGACACGCTCTAAAAGTGAGGAATCGCTGAGTCACGCAGCGTCCAACTCGAACTTGGCCGCTGCTGATGTGGCGGTCGCGGCCACACCGAAGTACACGAACTACATTGACGACATTGCCAATTCGGTGCTTTTAGCAGCCACGACGCAGCATTTCGGCGGAGATTTAGTGACGCACGAGCACAATACGCGCGCTCAATTAGGAGGCCACCGATCCGTGTTGGTGCAAGGCCCACAGACTGCAAAGCAGACGGCGCCACAGCAACGTAGCGGCGGTAAACTCATGATCTTCCTGGTGGGTCTTCCTGGTCGCGGGAAGACGTACATCGGCCACATTCTAGCGCGGCACTTGACGTGGATGGGACACCAGTCGCGCACGTTCAACACGGGCGAATATCGCCGCAGACTGGTCGGATCCAACGTGAACCACGCCTTCTGGGACCCGTTCAACGAGGAATCGTTCCAGATCCGCACCGAGCTGTCGAAAAAGTGTCTGGAGGACTCGATCGCGGCGCTGGAGAGCAACGACTGCGACTGCGTCATTTTCGACGCCACGAACGTGACGCGTAAACGTAGGCAGATGCTGCTGAGCGAGGTGCATCAACGCTACAAGTGCGAGATGATGTTCATCGAGTCCGTGTGCGACGACCCGGACCTCATCGCGTCCTCGATCAACGAGATGAAGCTCAACTCGGCCGACTACGCTGGCCAGACGATGGAGGAGGCCGCGGCAGACTACAACAACCGCATCAACCACTACCAGTCGCTGTACGAGCCGCTTGCCGCTGACCTGGAAGGCGCCCCGTTCATCAAGATCATCGATGTAGGGCGCCAGATCTTTTGTAACCAGGTGTACGGCTACCTGCAGTCGCGTATCATGTTCCTGATGGCCAATCTGAACCTCAAGCCACGTCCGATCTGGCTCAGTCGCCACGGCGAGAGCATGTACAACACACAGAAGCGTATTGGCGGTGACGCACCACTCAGTCCTCTAGGCGTGCAGTACGCGGAACAACTCGACCGGTTTATCGACGCGTACTACCCCACGCCGGACACAGAACTCGCTGTCTGGACGTCGACGATGCTGCGTACAGGAATGACCGTCGAGCGCATTGCAGCGCGTGGGCGATCGATTGTCAAGTGGAAACAGCTAGACGAGATCGATGCCGGCATCTGCGACGGCATGACGTACGAGCAGGTGGCCGAGGAGATGCCGGACGAGTATCTGGCGCGCAAGAACAACAAACTACACTACCGGTACCCGCGTGGTGAGTCGTACCAGGACGTGATCCACCGTCTAGAACCGGTCATTACCGAGCTCATGCGAATGGACCAGCCAGTGCTCATTGTGGCGCACCAGGCGATTCTACGTGTGCTGTACGCGTATCTGACCAACAAGTCTCCGCACGAGTGTCCTACACTCAACATCCCGCTGCACATGGTCATTCAGGTGACGCCCAAAGCTTACAAGTGCGAGGAAGTGTGGCATCGCCCCATGTAGACAAAAAACTGAAACCTGACCAGATCTCGTTGATCTAGCCTCTTCATTCTGTCTCCAGACCTAGATAATACACCTCTAAGCGGTTGTTGTTGGTGCCCAAGGTTTGTTCGTCCAGTCTGCACTCCAGTTTGGTCTCTTTAGCCACGAAATCCAGAAATTTGTCGATACCGTCCTGGTTGCGTCGCTCGACGCCCATGAGGACGATGCACTTGGGGTTGGCTAAGCACAAGAGCTCCATTGTCTGCGCTAGTGCACGCCACGAGGTGCCGTACAGCAGCTCGTAGATGCAGTCGCACGACAGCACCACGTCCACCTGTTCGTTGGAATATTGAGCCAAATATTCCTTCGTCTGCTGCACGCCCCAGCTCAGCGGTCTCGCTACAATTCCCCCTTTATCCTCGACGTCTTGTTCGCCATTGGGAAGGTTCAAAACCTCCGCATTGGCAGCCAGATTTACGTGCATGAGTCGAAGCAGCTCGTCCTGCTCTGTCAGCACCACGTGCTTAGCACCCGCGACTCGCGCCGCCATGCCCGGCACGCCGCTGTATTAAAAATGCATTAAATTATCATTTCTTTTCCTGAGAATTCATCGATTAAACGCACATTCCGGCGCCCAGTTCGATGACACGCAGTGAATTATTCGGATCTTCGAGTTGCTGGCGATAATCCGTCAAGAAACGACGAGCCAAGTGCACGGCAGCATCCCACAGCAACGTGCCAGCCCAAGCAGCGCCGGAAAATAATGGGGCGAGCTCATCGGCTTGCTGTTGAACGAAAGCAGAGTCAGAGGTGGAGTCGGAGACAGTGGAAAACTACAACTAATGCTTGGACTTGTCAAAGGAATTATGGGACGTACCATTAATAAGGTCAAATTCAAGTCTTTGCCGTTCACACGGACGCGTGTAGACTCCTCTACCTTGTCCACATTCTCCTCAGGAAAGACCTGTACGGCCGCCATCTTCGACCACCCAATTTCCGTGACTACAAACCGCCGCGGTTTTCTGACATCCAACCAGTACCGTAACAAATCAGTTTAATTCTCCACTCTCTTCTTACAAACATCAAATGAAATCACTTTGGCGAGGGATTGAATTAACCTGTTCACTCAAGGATTTTCCATCCGAAGAACCGAAAGTCCTGGATGGCACATTGGTGGCGACACGACGAGCTGCTGGCGCTGTTGCAGGCGTGGGAACAGACGCTAGATGCGCCTCGTGACCGCGATGAGCTCACGCAGCTGGAGCTGCAGCGACTGTATGAGAAGTTTGACGCCTTGCGGCCACGTGACGGCGCGTCCGTGCCCGTTCAAGAGGTGGAAGCGCAACGTCAGCGTTTAGTCCGCACCTTCCTGTTCCTACGCGCATTCAACGACGAGAGCACTCGTGCTGGACGTCCCACGTGGTTTCAACTACCGACGCAACAGCAGGAGAGTCTACGCCGCATGAACGGACGACTGGGGGAGCTGGCAACCGTGGCGCCGGACGAGTTCGAACTACTCCGACGGATCTGCGAGGAGCCACCCCCACCACCCCTTGCCCAGACGGAAACGCCCCAAATGAGCGCACCGGATCGTCCGCAAGAACGCCCCATGGTGGACGAGATGAAGGCGGCGGCTGAGGCACTCGCCGGTTTGCCCATGTTCCGTCCGAACCAGCCGCCACAGCTGTCGCCCCCTTTGTCACCCGTTGCCACCGTGACTAAGCAGACACTTGAAAGCGAATCTAAACGAGAGGAGACGTCGGAATCCGACGGGTTGTCGGAAAGTGAGGACGAGGACGAGTATACACCGAGGAAAAGTCGGAAGAGAGAAATGGACACGGACTATACGCCACCCAAAGCCAAAGCCAAGAGTAAGATCAAAATGACGTCCAAATGGTCCAAGAAAGATGAGCAGCGACTCTTGTCGGCGTGGCACGAGGTGGTTACAGTGTTGGCGGACAACGGATTTGCCGGGTCTTTCGCCTCTCGGAACGAGGGGCTCCGGTTAAATTCTCTGATCCATCAGCGGTATGCTGAACTATGTGGTGACGACAGTATACCCCGTACCAACCAGTCGACGGGTGCTAAGAAACACGCCATTGTGATGGCGTTCCGAGCTCTGCGGAATGTACTCCGCACTTTGGCGTCGCAGAGTGATCGTCCGAACTGGTTCGGAATGACTCCCGAAGAGCGGATGGAGTTGCAGATGAGATTCGGACACCATAACGAACAGGCTGTCTTTATTGAGAAAGAAACGTACCAGAGACTCGTCCAGATCGATAAGGCTCAGCAGATCGTGTTAACTCCGACTGTCGACGCACCTCGCGCTCCAGCGACACTGGACGAACTTCTCGGACGGACAACAGGGGGTTCTCGAAAACAAGTCGGACGGAAATCCTCAAAGGAAAAATACGCTTCGGGCCCCCCTAGAGGCTACGTTATTGCAGAGAAATCGTCCGAGGAATCGGAAGCAGAATCGTCGGAAGACGCCGCGTCAATCCGGAATGAACGATCCGAAAACTCCAGTCGAGACGCAAATTCACAGCGTTCGAAGAAACTGGCAAGAAAAGCTTTTCGTGAGGTGGATCCAGCGGACGACAGCGTGTCTACTACTTCTATTAAACGCCGTCGAACCGGGTTGAGTGATGCCAAGTGGGTGACGCGTTTGCTGGACACTCAGACGCAGCGGTTCGAGGCACTTCTCGCTGAGTTCCAGGAGGAGCGGCGACAAGAGCGACAACATAACGTGGAGATCATTCTGGAAGCTCTCAAGCTACGCAATGCGTCTGCAAAGAAAGCGGATCAGCCGTCCCAGTTCGTGGATGCGTTGGTGGAAAAGCAACGCCAAAACATGCTAAGACTCTTCAAGCAGCTGCAAGATGAGCGTTCCCAAGAACGCGAACAAGCTCGAGTTCTGCTGCGAGAGCTTGGAAGTTCTCGACTCGTCCAAGATCAAGAAGAGAAAGATTAACTGGGTAAGTGCGTGAATCGATCGGGTAGTAAGTAGTCGCCTTAATTTCGACGTTGCATTGGAATCCTTAACCTTTACGAGGTGCACGTATCCGATATCCCCTTCGTAGGACAATGCTAAGCATCAAGTACCCCACTTCCAATCCTTAAAAATCATCGTAACAAAAACAAATATAGGGTTTATTTTGACTTGATGTTTGTAAGCGCGATCATTTTTCGACAAATCGGATCCCTAGCCAGTGAGATTTTTCGAGACCAAGAACACCCCGGTGTTGACGCCCCGTCACTTCCAGAGACCTTCCAGGGCCCCCCCATACGCCTCACTACTAGCGTCGTCAATGCCATCGTCATATGCCAATGCTCGCGTCAACTCGGCGTGGGGCAGCGATGAATTGTTGCACCTGGTTGAGGCCTGGGAGGAGGTGGTGGACGACCCCAAAGACCGTCTCCTGCTCTCCACGGGGGAGCGCGCCACGCTACACGCGCGTTTCTGCGCCATCACGAGCTCGAACAAACGCAGTTTGTCGTCGGTCACTCGCCAACACCATCGACTGTGCACGTCGTACCGCCTCATTGTGGCCACCAACAAGAAAAGTTTGAAAAAAGGCACCCCTGGGTGGTTCGATCTGTCGGCAGCCGAGCAGCACGAACTGCGTCGGGTGCACAATAAGAAGGAGAAGGGGATGACTATCGTGAGTCCCGAACTCTTTCGCAGACTCGACCGCATCTGCGGCGGCACGGGGGGCTCTACAACGCAAAAGACGAAGAAGGAACCGAAACACTTGAAACGCAACAAGAAAAGCGTCGAACCGGAGGAAGAAGCGGATTCTACTGATACTCCAAAAAACGCGTGGACGTCACGTGATTGGGCGTTGTTCGTAGACGCCTGGCAAGAAGCTGTGGACGATTTCATCGACTACGGGAACGAACCAGACGAGAAGGTTAAGTTGCCCAACTGGTTGATCCGACAGAAGTTCGTGGCACTTGGAGGGCCGCAAGATACGACGGTGGGGTCCATTACGGCCAAGAAGCGGTGTATCATTCATTCCTACAACTTCATCCGCCAATGCGTGACCCAGTTGGAAGCGCTGGACGGATCGGACTGGTTCGACCACACGTTTAACGAACGATTCCGCTTGCAACGGAAGCTCGTGAGCCCCAAATCCAGTCAACGTGTGGGCTGTGAGATCGACCGGGAGACGTACCATAAGATAACCAGTGTCCTCGAGAAGGAGGAGGTACTGGGAAGGGTGACGGTCTCCGGTCATAAACGGAAGCGAGACCATACGAAAGCTCGCAATCCGTCGATAACGTCCGAGGAATCGGAAGAGTCTGCCCCTCGATCGCCCAGTCCTTCGCGTTCTGGTGACGATGAAGTGTCTGATACTGAGGATTCAGAGCTCAAAAGTCCGGTTGCTGGGGTGTACGAGGAGGAATCGCAAGTTGATGAACAAGTTGTGGAAGCCTTACTGGAGGCTCAAAATGCTCGTTTCGAGCAACTTATGCACGACTTGCGTGAAGAAAGAATGGAGGAACGCAAGCAAAACCAAGCGATGTTACTGGAGATCCTGCATCAACGCAACCCGCCGGAAGACCCCAATGTTAATGTGCCGTTCATGGAGTCACTAATCGGAAAACAACAGGAGCAACTCATGATGTTATTCGCACAGATGCACAAGGAGCGACAACAGGAGAGAGAAGAATTCCACGCAATGCTACGTCAACTATATGCCCGCCCATAGTGAAGTGTAGTGCTAATTTCTTTTCAGATAAGTACATGAAATTTTTTCGTATTTTACCGTTTTTGAGAAATTTGTTGGGACTGGGAGTATGAAAGTTCTCGTTTGCCAGTTTATCATTGGGAGGCTAAAGAAGCAACATGCCTAACGTCACTTCTTGGACCGAGACGGAGATCAGCGTCTTGATTCAAACATGGGCCGAGGTCGAGGCCAAGTACCCTATACTTCAACGTGGGTCAGTCGGATCAGTCACGATACACTCGAAGATGTACGCTCTGTATTCGAAGCGATGTCCCTTTGCTCGCTCATCCTCGGCTGTCAACCGGGCGAAGAATCTCTTGCGTATCTTCGTTCTGTTCGTGCACCAGTTTAATGAAGAGCGTCGACAAAAAGGAGAGCGACTGTGGTTTGATATCAACGTTACAGAGCGTCGAGACGCAGCGCCGATGAAGCTACGGGGACTGGCAGTAACGGTGAACCAAGAGGCTTATGCGAGACTCATGACTATGGAGAGAGCACAACGATGGCTGGCTGCCACGGCGGAAGTAAAACAAGAACGACCGCGTTTGACCCAACTTGAAGCTGCTGGAGTCTCGAACGGGGACGAATTGTCCCTATCGTCTGAGGCTAGCACCCCATGCACCGAACAAGGTGCAGATAAATCCGAAAGCCGAGCCTCCATTGCGGCGCCACAACGTTCTAGTAGCAGTTCCTGCAGTCCGTCTTCGCTCTTTGGTGACGATAGTGAATTGTCCTGTTCATCTTCTTCAAATACGACGAAGTCCCACAAGAAACCGGAGCTGCCGGCAAAGCTCAAGCATCGAGATTGTAATATTCTTCTGGAGAGCATGATGAAGCTCCAAGCCGAGAAGATGCGTCATGCTGTCACTAAGCTACGTACGGATATAATTGGTGCTCTCCAACACAGCTCAGAAATGTTACTCTCGATTATCAGCAACCAGTTTGAAGAATCAGAAAGCAGTGGAGACATCGCGTTCGTAACCAAAGTGCTGAATATGCAGAAGCAACAGGTACGAGATCGATTCGATCAGTTCGAGGAGAAACAGACACGTCAAGAAGCTGAAAACCGTGCTCTTATCGGGTAATGAGGGTACTCAAGGGCGAAAGGTGTGCGTGTGTGTATTGGTTTACGAATTTGAGTAAGTTTGATAAAAAAAGCTCTATCTTTTTGTTGTTGTTTTTTCTATTATTCTCTTTATTTTGTCTTCGCGAGAGGGTCAAATTCCATCAGCGTGTCACCATCGAACGAAGCAGCAAGAATATCTTTTTGACATCATGCCAAATGTCACTTCATGGACGGAGACAGAGATCAGCGCGATCATTGAGGCTTGGAGTGAAGTGGAGGCCAAGTATCCTTTGCTGACTAGTGAGCGCGGCAAAAACAATCTTCACTCGAAGATGTACGCACTGTATTCGAGGCGAGTCGCCTTTCCGCGTACACCAACTGCCGTCCTAAACTGCAAACAACATATACGCGAGTTCGTGTTGTTTGTTGCCAAGTATGACAAAGAGCGCCAAGAAGACGGTGATCGGCTTTGGTTTGAGCTCAGTGTTGAAGAACGTCGTCAACATCGTGGGTTGGTGCCACGCAGACCCCGAGGCTTGGCAACGTCTCTGAGTAAAGAAGCTTTTGCGAAGCTACTCAAGATGGAGCGAGTTCAGAGATGGTTGGGTGGAGATACAGTCCCGAAGGTTGAGGACCAGCGAGAAGAGACTCAAGAAGCGCAATTTAACACGAGTTTTATTGCACCTGAACCTGATTCCGATACAAAACTGTCGTTTGAACCAAGGGCTGGTGCGTTTGGAGTCACAAGTGTGGGTGATTTTTTCCCTCTACCTGCGTCTATCGCTGCTCAAGGCGAAGAGTTGGAGGAGAAGAGGCGTGTTCCTGTTCAAGATCGCTCTGATACCAGCACGTGCAGTCTATACTCCAATGATGAAGCTTCCCCACAATCTACGCCAGAGTCGCTTATTAAGTCGAACATGCCTAAAGTGGAAGGAGACACGAAGAAAGGTAAGACAGAGCTTCAACCGACGCTAAAACACCGAGATTGCAACCTTCTTCTTGAAAAAATGATGAAGTTCCAAAACAAGACGAAACGCCGAGCTGTCGCCAAGCTGCGAGCTGAGATCGAACGAGAAATTCATCGCAATTCGGAGATGTTGCTGTCTATCGTAAGCAATCAATTTGAGGATCCGGAGAACAGTGCAGATGTCGCTTTCTTGACCCAAGTACTCAATAGGCTGAAGCAGCAGGTGCAAGACCGATTCGACCAGTTCGACGTGGAGCGAACTCGTCAAGAAGCAGCCAATCGTGCTCTCCTTAGCCGACACTAGATAGAGGTTGAAATCAGGTGAAGGCGACAGTGTAATTTTACGTATTTTTTTATTGAACATTTTTTTTTTTAAATTAGTTTTGTTCAACCCCGTTTCTCCCTTCCCAAATTCTTCACTTCTGACTTCGTGATCACTGCGAATCCCGCGAGAATGAAAGATCGAAGTGACGCCAGCTATCTCCATCCAGAATGGACAGAAGAGGAGACGGCGATGTTAGTTGAAGCATGGAACACCGTTGAATCCAGCTCGAAGGATTACCATCCTACCCGTAATAAATTTGCGGGGGGTCTTGATGAGCGCATTACGGAGGTATTTTCTCGTCGCAGCAATAAAAAACGAAGCACAAGCGGTGTCCACGTTCAGCGATGTAAGTTATATGATGCGATCCGGTTTATCCACCGCTTTGACGAGATGCAGCAAACTTGTGGGGGGCGACTGTGGTTTGATCTGTCCACTGAAGAACGAGTTAAAATTGCAACGACTGACAGGACTAGCAAAAC